TCAAGGATATGAAGTGTCCTACATGCCCATCAAACAGCCCTCTCTGAAGATAACCATCCACATCACTCATCTCAAGGTAGAGTTTATTTTATTATTTTAATTTAATTTAATTATTTTATTTTTATTATTTACTTTTTCATTCATTCATAGTAATTCATACACAATTAATGTATGAATTAATATATAAATAATAATAATAATTTAGAAATATATATACAAAATATAATAGATATATAGTCAGAAATTGGTTAAATACATTTTCATTGTGTGGGTGTTTTTATTTTATTTTATTATTTTATTTATACATTTTTTTATCAAATCAAACATTCATCAGCATTATGTTAGAAAAGCATTTACAAGTGAGTCATTCCGAATAAGAAATCATCATCTGAGTTTCTGACTGAGACTGGATAAATGAGTGGTGTTTGTGTCTGTAGGTAGTTGTTCCTGTAAGGTCAGAGGAGTATGAGGTCTCTGTTTGTGCCTTTAACAGCGTGGGATGCTCACCGCACCGCCGGCTCACGGTCGACGCGTCTCGGACTCACGGTACTCATTTCTCATGAAGAGTCTTTTCTCAGTAGAATAGAATTGAGAGATTAAGAGTCGCAGCTCTGGTTTTGATTATAGTTCTTGTGTTGTTGAATGCGTCGTGTTTTCCGTCAGATGTGCCGGCGCTGAAGAGTCTCTGGGTTTATCCCGACGGTCCTTCACTGCGGATCTGCTGGGAACACGAGTTCACCGCGGTAAACGTCAGCGAGTTCGCCATCGAATGGAGCGCCGCGACCGAGCGCGAGCACAGACGCTGGGAACGAGTCACTGGATCCACCTTTACAGCCCCTCTGCCAGGTCTGATTACACAGAATACATGTGACGTATAACAGTATTAATGAGTGAAGCTCACAAAACATGTCTGGATCATATTTGAACCAAAAACCTAATGGGAGTCGAACACATGGCATTCCAACCGTCATGCTTAAGTGTTTGAGCTTCAGGCATTGCATTGCATAGAATAGAATAGAATAGAATAGAATAGAAAATAAATAAATAATTGTTTTTTAGAATAAAATAAAAATTAAATAAATCAAATTAAATTAAAAAATTAAATAATTAAATTAAATGAAAATGTTAAATTTAAAATAAAGTAAATTTAAAATGCTGTTTATAATACTCACATTTTGTGGGAAAAAAGTTATAAATAATTAATACAATGTTAAATGCGTTTTTAAAAATCATGTTCTCATGTTTGTTAGTTTTTTTGTGTAAAGTTTGAATAAATAAGCAATTATATTTATTTATTTATATAAGCAATTTTATTTTATTGCTTATACATTACATTTATAAGAGTTAGGTATTTCTTTTAGAGCATTAAGAGTTTTGACATTGTGACAAATAACCTCATGTCCCTCCGAACTGCATTAGAACCGTGTGAATTTTGCTGGAATCGAACCCGTGATCTTAGTGTTGCAAGCGCCATGCTTTACTGTGAGCATCAGGAAAACACACACACACAAAATTAAATCTAAAAAGTAAATACAAAAATCTAAATAAGAAAATTGTGTAATATAATAGATTTAGTAAAAAACAAATGTTTAAAAAATGTATACTGCGTTAAATAGTTTTAAAAATCATATGTTCTCATGTTTGCTTTTTTAATGTTTTTTGTTTTGTTTTCATAGTGTGATTTTTTTTGTTTTGTTTTTTTGTATTTAATCTAAAAATCTAAATAAGCAATTTGTATTGCTTATACATTACATTAATAATAATTATGTATTTATTTCAGAGCATTACGGTTTTTAACATTGACATGATTTTCATGACAAATAACTTGACGTCCCTCCCGATTCTCTTTAATGTCATTTAAATTATTTATACTTTTATATTTATACCATTGTGCTGCCTTTCTGCTGATTTAACAAAAAAATGGTATTACTGTATTTTTGTTCCGTGTAATGAAGTAAAACAGTATTAAAGTGCATTTATTCCTACAGCAGATGCTTTTATTCCAAGCAACTTTCATCTTACAAGATTCGTCCGAAAGCAATGAAAATCTAATGAGAATCAGTAAAAAATAATGATTAGAATAATGATAATTCTGGACACTTTATTGTGAATTTGTATATAATGCTAAAAAACTGTCATAACCTGGTTTAAGTTTCTTTATGAAAAATATGATTTCTTTTGTTTTGAGTTTCTCTCACTCATATGTGACCCTGCAGCACAAAAGCAGTGTTAAGTCGCTGGGGAATATTTGTAGCAATTGAACAATTGACACTTAAGACTGGTTTTGTGGTCCTGGGTCACATATGATCTGTATGTAAGTGATATAAAAGAGTGTGTCAATGTGAAATCGTTTGCTGCTGGAAGGCATTGCAGCGCAGCAGATGTACGTCATCAGCGTGTTCCCCGTCTACGAGTCTCTCTGCGGGCCGCCGGCCTCCATCTCTGCGGATCTACAACACGGCGGTAAATGAAGATGAAAATGCCCAAGCTTCACAAAGCGCTGTCAGATGCTCTGATCTGTGTTCTGATGTACTTCAGCTCTGCTGGATCTGGTCCGGTTCCGTCTGGTGAACGTGACGAGCTCGTCTGTGGCGGTGCAGTGGATCTGGCAGGAGGCCACGCCCAGCGTTAGCGTGCTTCGGTACCGACTCGTGTTGAACGGGCCGCTTGAGACTCGGAGTGAGTCAGTGGTGTGTGAGTGTGTGTGTGAACGTGCTGTGTGCGTGTCGAATCTCTAGGTGCGTCCCAAATCGCGTACTTATGCACGCTTCTATGACGTTTTGTAGTATAAATAGTGTGAGTAGTGCGTTCACACTGAAAATTCCTAAAAGAAAAAGTGCACTTTAAATACCCGGATGATGCAACGAAAAAACGAAGTGTGGAATGTTGCACACTTCATGCACTCAACTGCCGTAGCTTTAATTACGTAGTGAAGGGGGAGGAGCTACCAGACTCCGTTTATGGTTGAGTACATAGTGCATAAGTACACAGTGTATAAGTGCATAGTGTATAGTGTGTCATTTGGGACGCAGCTTCTCACACCGTGTCCTAACTGCACGCGACGTGACAAGATTCCAGCGACAAGCAATTTTAACGCCCCATTCACACGGGGCGTCAGCGTCAACGCCTCTCGTTTACTTTGAATGACGTCAAGCGTTTGGCGAAATGAATTGTGGGTCCGTCGCGTTGGGTCTGTTGCTCGCGGCAGAAGTTGAAAACTTCTCAACTTTTCAAGCGCCAACGCAGGCGTCAGCCAATCAGATTGCCTTATGCAAATACCCTAGCGCAGACGCTAGCCAATCGCATTCATGCTACACCAGAAGACTAATGTAATTGGCTGTTGTCACTATGACAGTCGCGTCAGTACCAAGCTTCAGAAACGCCCTCCGTCAAGCGATAAAACGCTGACGCCGTGTGAATGGGGCGTGAGTGTCCACACCAGACGCGACAGAATTATTCAAATATCACATACACCAGAAGACTAATGTAATTGGCTGTTGTCACTATGACAGTCGCGTCAGCACCAAGCTTCAGAAACGCCCTCCGTCAAGTGATAAAACGCTGACGCCGTGTGAATGGGCCGTGAGTGTCCACACCAGACGCGACAGAATTATTCAAATATCACAGCCAATCAGAAGCGTGTGTGGGCGGAGCCTATCTGGAAGCGCACTGCACTCGCAACGAAATGGATACGTTTATAATCTAATTCATAAATATTAAAGCTTTTTAACATCATTAAATGTACATACTGCGTGACTGATACCGTCTTTGTTATGGAATACACTCATTGGTTCGCAGTGACTTCACAGTTTTAACGGACATCTTTGCTTTAATTTATTTCCAAGATAAACTAACTTGTATGTTGTTGCTTTCAGTTTGGCTATAAGGTCACACAAAATTATATTTAAACTCATATTAGACAGGTTTAACTCTGAATAAAGCACATAATCACCTGAGATTATCTACTGTACTATAGTTTGTAGTTAGGACACGGAGTCACACTCGCTCTGTTTCCTCAGCTCTCACAGTCTTTCCTGACAAACGGCAACACTCGTTCCTCCGGCTCCATCCAAACACGAGATACTCGATCCACATTCACGGAGAAACCACATCCGGGAACTTCTCAAAGGCCAGTCTGGACGTCAGCACGCTGCTTCTGGGTAAGATGTGCTGGTGTGTGGAGGAGCAAACCTGCAGGAATTAAGAAGAAATTAATGAGTTAATGTAATTATAGGGAAATAAATTACTTGATAAAACAAATACAAATTTATTTAGAATTTGAATAATTTTTCCCTGTGTATTTATGATTCAATTAAGTATTTTTTATTTTTTTTTTATTCTTTAATTAAATAATTTAATTTCCATTTATTTTTATTTCCTCATTTTCATGTTGCAGGCAGAAAAGTAAAAAGAAATAAATGAATGTACTGTATAAATATGGAAATAAATACATGTGGGAATAAATAAATACAAAAAATGAATTAATAAATTAAATAAACATGTATTTATTTTGTTTATTTATTTAAAACAAAATAAATTAATAAAACAATAAAATAAATAAATACATTGAAAAAGAATAAAAATAATTTAAAATAAATACAAAAAAATGAATAAATAAATAAAACAATAAAATAAATAAATAAATAAATACATTGAAAACGAATAAAAATAGTTAAAAATAAATACAAAATAAATAAAACAATAAAATAAATAAATACATTGAAAATAATAAAAATAAATACAAACAAATTGATGAATTAATTAATGAATAAAACAATAAAATAAATAAAACAATAAAATAAATACATTTAAAAAAGAATAAAAATAGTTAAACAATACAAAAAATTGATGAATAAATAAACAATAAAATAAAATGTGTTTAATAAAATAAATACATTGAAAAATAATAAAAATAGTTAAAAATAAATACAAAAAATGAATGAATAAATAAATAAAACAATAAAATAAATAAATAAAACAAAATAAATATATACATTGAAAAATAATAAAAATAGTTAAAAATAAATACAAAAAATGAATGAATAAATAAATAAAACAATAAAATAAATAAATAAAACAAAATAAATATATACATTGAAAAATAATAAAAATAGTTAAAAATAAATACAAAAAATTCATGAATTAATGAATGAATTAATAAAGAAATAAAACAATAAAATAAATATTTATATATTTGAAACAAAATAAATAAATACAGAAAATAATTAATAAACTAAAAAAATAATACAAAAATCACAAATTAAGTCATTTATTTTCCTATTATTGCATTTATTATTATATATATTTTTTCATTTCTCCAGGTTTGGTTCTCCATACTGATCGAGCACAAATGCAACCTCAATACGGCAATAAAGCTGTGATATGCATTGAATATAATGTTTAAGAGTGTTTGTTAGACTAAACACAGCAGAGAGACTATAATCGCTGTATAACGTGATCTCAACTGTCTCATTGCTTTCAGAAAAAAGATACTAATTAACATAAAGTTTACAAAAGAAACAACGGATGAGGATGATGATGCTGAAGTGCTTCTTGATTTTCCAGATTATGATGAGATGCTGAGGTTTGCCGTTCCAGTGCTTCTCCTGCTTCTCGTTTTGGGGATGTTCTCTGTTTTGACGAGGACCATGTAAGCACTGATCTCATGGAAAAACCAATCACATTGTCTTGATTTGGCTCCATTAATAACTCCGTCATGACTTTACACACAGGTGCAGGGAATATTTCTTCCCCTTCATCGCCAATCCGAGGTACAGTCTGATCGGACGCTGGCTCCTCGAGCCACATCTTCAGGTCAGAGTCGGTTAATCTGTGCACTGTTTTCACTTGCTTTGGATCTGAAGAATCGTTATATGTGACCCTGGAGCACAAAACCAGTCATAAGGGTAAATTTTTCGAAATTGAGATTTATACATCATCTGAAAGCTGAATAAATAAGCTTTCCATTGATGTATGGTTTGTTAGGATAGGACAATATTTGAAAATCTGGATCTGAGGGTGCAAAAAAATCTAAATATTGAGAAAATCATCTTTAAAGTTGTCCAAATGAAGTTCTTAGCAATGCATATTACTAATCAAAAATTAAGTTTTGATATATTGAGGCGGGGCATAGAGGACCTACAATAATGTACAGTATTTGAAAAATAATGTGTTTTTTGAACATTAAAGCATGTCAACATATTCTGTTACACCAAATACACAAAATAATGATCTTTAAAAAAGCATCATATGACCCCTTTAAACTAAAGCCATATAGTATCAGATCAGCAACTTCTTATTAGTGAGTTTTTAACATTATTTGAATGTTATAACTGCATTTACCCATTTGAAATTACACATGGAAAAAAAAAACTAAAATATATATTTTTCAATGTTTATGAGAATTTTTTTAATATATCATTGTATGAAATTTATAAGAGCATATAATCTGAGAATTATGTGTATTAACACATTGGAATTAATATAATTTAATTAAATTCCTTTGAATTTACACTGCAGTTCAAAAGTTTGGGATCAGTAAGATTTGTAATGTGTTTTAAAGAAGTCTCTTCTGCTCATCAAGCTTGCATTTATTTGACCAAAAATACAGTAAAAATTTGAAATATTATTACAATGTAAAACAGCTGTTTTCTGTGTGAATGTGTTAAACTGTAATTTATTTCTGTGATGTGCAGCTGTATTTTCAGCATCATTACTCCAGTCTTCAGTGTCACATGATCTTCAGAAATCAGTATAATATGCTGATTTGGAAATAGAAATCTTTTCTAACAGTATAAGTCTTTATTATCACTTTTTATCATTTTAACACATCTTTGCTGAATAAAAGCATTAATTTATTTTGGTAGTGGTAGTGTATATTGTTAGAAAAGATTTCTATTTTGAATAAACGCTGTTCTTTTTAACTTTTTATTCATCAAAGAATCCTGAAAAAAAGTATCACAGGTTCCAAAAAAAATATTAAGCAGCACAACTGATAATAAATCAGCATATTATTATGATTTCTGAAGATCATGTGACACTGAAGACTGGAGTAATGATGCTGAAAATACAGCTGCACATCACAGAAATAAATTACAGTTTAACACATATTCACATAGAAAACATCTGTTTGAAATTCTAATAATATTTCACAATTTTACTGTTTTTTCTGCATTTCTGATCAAATAAATGCAGCTTTGACGAACAAAAGAGACTCCATTAAAAAACATTACAAATCGTACTGATCTTTGATGAACAAAAGAGACTCCATTAAAAAACATTACAAATCGTACTGATCCCAAACTTTTGAACAGCAGTGTATAACTCATAATTGCTCAAAAACAGTCCAAATTTATGAAACCTACATATTTATTTCTATATATTACTCTGAAAAATACATTAATTTTACTTGCATAAAAATTCACTTTCAGATGAAGAAAAGTGATGAATATATTATGCTGCAATGGTTCGTCAATAGACGTAATTATTCATGTTTATCACCCAAATTCAAGTGTGTGAGATATGGGGAAAAGGTGAAAAAATATTGTATAAAAGTGTATTAACACTAATATAATTTGATAGATATTTAGTAGATTTTTGACACCAAATGATACTCAAAAATGACCCGAAATAATTTTTAACCCCTTAAGTGCCACCGGCCCACAGGTGGGCCCAATGGCGCTCTTGTTTTGTTGTCTTTTTTCTCTATCACATATTTTAGTAATCATCATAAATTATATTTCATTTGAAAGCTTAAAGCCTCAGAATTCACCATTTTTAAATCAGACATTGCGTTGCCATGGAAATGGTACTTTAAAATCTTTTAGCGGTCTCCTCCCCCTTAGTGGGTGGAGTCAAGTGTCATATTACAAAATGCATTACGGTCTTTTAGAATTTTGACAAAATAGATATATTTGGAAAGGTCTGAGTCTCAAGATTCGATATTTGATCGTTATTTTTTGATAGACGTAATATTGACAGAGAAATTTAGACATTTATTAAATTCTGCAGAGTTTGGGTGTCACCCGGTGGCTGTTTGTGGTATAACGCCCAAAATAAAATCTCACAGGAACCTCAATTTTTTTTAATATCAACTTCAAATTTGAAACATAACTTATTTAGACACAAGGCTTTAATTTTATATCAATTTTGGATTCAAAAATATTTTGTAAAATATTTACTTTATATATAAAAAAATAAAAAAAATCGGTACAGTGCATTTTCTTTACAGTAAATTTAAACTTCTATAACTTTTTGATACTTTAATATTTTGAAATGATTCCACTTCTGGAGTAATCTGCAGATTGTCTTCTTAAAAGGAGTCCAACCTTAGGTCTGTATTCCAAAGTTTTCATGAATTATAATAATTTATGTTTGGATAGTGCACTTTCACGTCTATGTTCAAAAATGGGGGGTGGGTTTTAAGGGGTTAATTCATCTTAACGTCCTTTCTTGCTCAATGCAAACAGGGCAGCGGCTCGATCTGCACGCTGAAGCTGGAGCGTGTGTTCCCGCCGGAGAAGAGCATCATACAGCTGGAGCGCCGCGTGTCTTTGGTGTCTGATCATGAAGACGTGCTTCCACTGAAGATCTGTGCGAGCGCTGAAGATACGGCTCTCGCTCCCTCCAGTCTGCCGGAGTACGTAGACTTACCCTTAATACCCGAGAGCTCAGGCTATGTTCAGACTGGATGAATTGATCTCATGTGAGCGTCTCAGAATGACTCGCCTGCGGTTTCTGCATTCTTAAAAAAAAAATGTAAAAATGCATGTTTTTTAGTAAAGGAATGAGACTTTGAAAATGCTTTAAGAGCCTCAAAATACACTTTTTCTGATTTTTTACATGGTTTTTTTTGTGATATACTGTAACACGTTTTGTGTTCAGGTCATTTTCGACTCGGGGAAAACCATTAGGTGTCAAAAATACTTTTTGTAAAATTGGCTATGAAATTATATTGTCAAAACACTTCTGTAAAATATATTCTCCAGATGTTAACTGATGGACTGGAGTGCTGTGGATTATTGTGATGTTTTTATCAGCTCTCATTCTGACGGCACCCATTCACTTGCAGTGAGACACTGATGCAGTGCTGCATTTCTCCAAACCTGATGAAGACACAAACTCATCCTGATCTTGAATAACCTGAGGGTGAACACATTTTAGGAAATATTCATTTTTGGGTGAACTATTGCTTTAACCCTTGTGTGTATTTAGGAACATTTTGGTCTTTTTAATTTTTGCTTTTTTGATCATTTCGGCTGTGTTCATGCAAACAGCATGAATTTCGCCAAAAATGTGTTTTTATTGGAATTTTAATATTTCACCCTCATATTTTTCCTTTTTTTAATATATGTAATATTTTCATTTTAATATTTATATCACTTTACAATAAGGTTCCATTAGTTAATGTATTAACTGACATGAACAAACAATGAACAATACATTTATTACAGTATTTATGAATATTTGTTAATGTTAGTTTATGAAAATACAGTTGTTCGCTGTTAGTTCATGTTAATTCACAGTGCATTAACTAATGTTAACAAGCACAACTTTTGATTTTAATAATGCATTAGTAAATGTTGAAATTAACTAGGCTTAATAAATGCTGTAGAAGTATTGTTCATGCTTAATTCATGTTAACTAATGAACCTTATTGTAAAGTGTTACCGATATTTTCCTTTCATAAATAGACACAAAAAAGAGTTACATTTTAGGACCTTAAGAACAAAAGCGTCCTCATTAAAATAACAGCAATATTATAATCCCAGTGCGACTTAAGCATAAAATCATGCATTCTTTGTTAATATGCTTTCATTCTGTTGACAAGGCTTCAAAATGTTTACTATCTTTACTACTTTTTTTTTTTTTACCATTTTCAGTTGAACTGAAATTATAATTGTGATGTGATGTAATTATAATTGTGTGGGTGTGAATGCTAAGAGTTTTTGAAACCTGACAATGCACAAAAATTAATAATGCATAAAAATAATGTTGTTTTTAATTGACTCATCCAAGACTGTAATAATCCAAAAAAATCTGCTTAGCATGAAGTACATGGAAAATAATTCACTTTTTGTGTTTGTTTTTTCATTAAAATATCTGGGATTTTAAACAGTTTGTATTTTAAATCACAAATCACCTATACAAAAATTAAAACCAATAAAATATTTTTATTACTTGAAATAAAATAAAAATTAGCTGAAATAAAATAAAATATAAAAACTTAATTTAACTTCATTTAACCCAATTTAACCTAAACTTAAGTCAACTCAGTTTAACCTGAAATACAAACATAACTAAAACTGAAAAAATGAAAATAAAAAAAAATTAAAGTAAAAAAAAAAAAGTCAAATTATGTAAACAAACTGGCGTTTAAAGGGTTAAAATCCTGAAAATTAATGCATTTTTTGTAGTTATGATCATGACTGATACTGGCATGTCAGTGAAAGCAGAAAAAAGTATTAATATATAATATTTTGATGACTTTTTCTGCACTTTTCTGTCCTCTGATTAACGTTTTATGTATGCATCATATATATATGATAAATATACGCAACAAAATTACTAAAACTTTAACTAAAATTACCATAAAAGCAGAAAATATAAATTCTAAATATTGACATAAACTATAATATAGTATCTCAATGATACTAAGATAACACTGGCTTGGTAACACTAGTTAACTCCATTAGTTAACATGAACTAACAATCAAAAATATCATTAAAATCAAATGTTTTATCTTTTAATATCATTGGTAGCTCTTTATTTTAAGGTCAAGTTCTCACTATTAACTAGTTGTTTATTAGAAGGCATATCACTAGCATATTGGCTGTTTATTTTAGATCTCTTAATCCACACTAATACCTAAACATAACGACCTTACTAACTAATAATAAGGAGCAAATTAGGAGATTTTAAGGCAGAGGTAATAGTTCGTTAATAATGAGAATTGGACCTTAAAATAAAGTGTGGATATTATTATTATTATTATTATTAAATGTATCGTTTATTGTTAGTTGATGTTGGTTAATGCATTAACTAATGTTAATTAGTTTTCTAATTTTCTAAACTTATTTCAGTTTTCAGAAACTAGGAGTGTCCAGAGATTAAAGTAATTGTTTTAGTTACTTATAATTAAAATAATAAATTTTCAGGATTCCAGAAGATTTAAGAGCTGAATGTTCGTCAGGAATCCCGTCTGTTCCTGATTTACTGGATCAGGATTTACTCAACATTTCAAACCCATTAAATACATAAGAGCTTGACATACCTAGAAAATGTCCATTCATTATAAAAATGCTCACTGTGTTGGAAGATTTTATTCATTTCAATGACTTTTTTTTCCAGGTTTATAATTCAAATTCACACTTTTAAAAACAGGTTTTCTCAAATATCCAGGTTTTCCAAGACGGCAGGAATCCTGGTTCTTGAATTAAAGAAAGAAATATCTTGTTTTTATTATTTTAATGCTTTGGTCTTATTTGAAATCATAAATCACCTCAGCAAAAACTAATGAAAAATGAAACTAAAATCATAAAAAAAACATTTTCATTACTTGAAATAAAATAAAAATGTACTGAAATAAAATATAAAAAACGTTAACATTTTATTTCAGCTAACAAAATTTCTCATTTTCGTTTAGTTTAACTTGAAGTACTAAAATAACTAAAACAGAAAAAAAATACAGAAAAAGAAAAATAATAAAAATGACAAAATGACTCAAACTTATAATAAACTAAAATTAAAATAAAATAAAAAAATATTAAATTTATTAAAAAAAAAAAGGTTAGGGTTAGGTTTAGGGGTAGGTTCAGGGTTAGTACCTGGTTATTACCCATTTATTGTAATCACTATAGCATATAAATGTGGAACAGGACTGTAAAGTAAGCGCTGGTTGAGAAGCGCTGATCTATGGTGTTCTGAGATGAGTGATAGTTATGTGTAACTAGTTAGTTAGTCCCAGCGGCATCACCGTCGCTCAGCGTCAGGAGTCGGGGCATGGCTCCATGAAGGAAAAAACTGCTAGGATCTTTATCTTTGAGGAGTATATGCATAAATATATAGACAGACAGATAGAAAGATATTCTTTTTTTTTTTTACTATATATATTTTTTGCTTTTTTTCTATTATCGATTTATTTGATTTGCATATAAAATCTCCATGCATTTGAATTAAACTGTTTTAACATGAACTAATATGCTTAATGTGATGCATATTTGTCAGTCATACAGTATATTAATGAAACAGGTTAGATTTCTAAACTGAAAAAATCATGGCATAATTTATTAAAATATATATTAAAAAAAATATTTAATTTTAATATGTATATATATGTGTGTGTGAGAGAGGGTGTGAGTGTGTGTGTGTGTTTGTGTGTGTGTGTGTGTATGTGTGTGTGTGTGTGTGTGTGTGTGTGTGTGTGTGTGTGTGTGTGTGTGCGCGCGCGTTTTTGAGACAAATGAGGACATAAATTTGTATAATGACAAAGGTATGACATAGGTATTACAAGGAGAAGGTGACTTTTCAGGACATTGTTTCCAGACAAGCGCGACGCCTGGCGGAGAGAAGCGCGCATTACAACATCAGTCAAAAGATTGAATTCATAATCAAAAGTGATGATATCTGTTAGGTTTCTTGTCAAATACTTTTCAAGCACATTTATATAAGGTATATAAAGGTCTAAGAGTAGATGTTTAATAGGTAAAATGAGAGAAGATCAAAGAATGCAACAAAACTTTTACGGGTTCTACTGAAAGTTACAATTTCTAAGTTGAAGTGTCACTGCACACACTATTTTTTGAACATGCTTTTCAAATGCTAAATGAGAGTTTAAAATAACAAAGATATTTAAAAATGTTCACCATTGATATACTTCTGGACCCCCACCGTCTTTTTGGTTTTAAAATACAAACAGGCACTTTTCTGAACATTTAATGCTAAACAACACTGAGTAAGCCAGTGTAAAATTTTCTGCATAATTTTTGTGCCACCTTTTCTTTTGTTTTGTCATGTACGTAAATCACAGTGTCATCTGCATACATTTGAATATGTACATCAGGACAAGCATCTGGAAAGTCATGCAAGTACAAACTGAAAAGTAGGGGTCCTAGGATCGAGCCCTGAGGAACCCCTGTGGAACAATCTGTTAAAGAGGATAAATGTGTTTTAATCTGGGTGCACACTGTTTCCTTGATGTAAGATAAGACTCAATCCATTTCATTGTATCTACTGAAAAGTTAAAATGTAGTGGTTTAGATGATAGGATATTCTGTTTTAATGTGTCGAATGCCTAACACAAGGAACACAGCACGCACAACCGCACATAATACGCAATGAGTAGTTATTTTCAAACTTTTGCTGTATGTTATTAAATAGCTTTTTACATTTATTTAGTCATTTTTGGAGATGTATTTGATCATCTCTTGACCACAGTGTGTTTTTGTTTAGCTGTAAATCTGCATTAGTCAGCAAAACAGCAAAATCACTGATTAACTCGGAGCTGATTGTGGGTCAGAAGCTCCTCAAAGAGTCTCAGAAACTCTGATGGGATCCAAAGCACGCGATCACAGTCATCCTGATGGAGAAACATCTGGTTTCTGAGGACTCGGTTCAGTGCAGGAGCAGAAACGATGCAGCGAGACCGATGTGCTCCGTTACTCCACATCAGCAGATGAACGAGTGTGTGTTACTGCGGTAAGATCACGCATGATCATCATCTTCCCTCATTCAGTCTGCATGTTTCACAAGAATAATGCAAAATGCATGATCGTCATGTTATTGTTATGAATCAAGCACGATGTCATTCTGTGTGCTGTGCATCCAAGTTCATTTTTAAACATCCATATTTCCAGATATTGTGTAATATCACGTTGGAACAGAGCACAAGGTTTGTTGACTTTATGTGAGCAGAAGGACTTTGTCTTGTGTTTTTTGGCAAACACTGAACATGATGGTGAACCGCCAGTCAGTGACAACAGATATATAAATAATGCTGGATGCATAATTCAAATCAAACCACCGTCACAAAATCTCCATTTAGTTTCATCTAGATCTACACTCTTAAAAATAAAGGTTTTTCATTGGCTCTGATGGTTCGAAGAACCTTTAACGTACATGGTACCTTTAATACCTTTATAGAGGAACAAGTTTCCTTAGATTATTTCAAATGTTCTTTACACTAAGAAAAAAATTATTCTTTTATGAACTGATTACTGAAAGTTTCTTTGGTGAACCAAAAATGGTTATTCTATGGAATCATTGTGAAAAAAAACCCATATGGGACCTTTATGTTTAAGATATTGTGAGTTTGAGACTGTTTGTGAGTCTTTTTGACTGATTCATTACAGTGAATCGGTTAGAGAGTAATTTGTTCATGAGTCAGACTCCACTGTTCACACTGTAGTCATTAGACTGATTCAGATTGTGAGTTTGAGACTGTTTGTGAGTCTTTTTAACTGATTAATTACAATTAATCTGTTGGAGAGTCATTTGTTCATGAATCAGACTCCACTGTTCACACTGTAGTCATTAGATTGATTCAGATTGTGAGTTTGAGACTGTTTGTGAGTCTTTTTAACTGATTCATTACAATGAATCTGTTGGAGAGTCATTTGTTCATGAATCAGACTCCACTGTTCACACTGTAGTCATTAGATTGATTCAGATTGTGAGTTTGAGACTGTTTGTGAGTCTTTTTGACTGATTCTTTACAAGGAATCAGTTAGAGAGTCATTTGTTCATGAGTCAGACTCGACTGTTCACACTGTAGTCATTAGAACGATTCAGATTGTGAGTTTGAGACTGTTTGTGAATCTTTTTAACTGATTCATTACAAGGAATCATGAGCCAGACTCCACTGTTCACACTGTACTCTCACAAATAAAGCTTTATTGGCATTGATGAACATGCATGGAACCACTAAAGGTTCTTTATAGTGCAAAAATGTTCTTCACACTAAGAAAATATGGTTGTATTAAGAACCGATCACTGAAAGGCTCATAAATGGCACAAAGTCGTTCATCATTCAGAAGCAAGAACTGAGTTTATACCACATGAGATTGAGTTTGCTGAAAGACTCTTATTTCAGTAACACTAAACCGCAGCTTGAATGTTCTGGTGTAACTAGAAGAGACGGGTCAGGTTAACTAACGCGTGACGTAACTATTAAAGGTGGAAGAGATGGTAAAACAGCACAGCTCTGTAATCAGGCAATGATCTCTAGTTAAACAGTCTGGTTTAAATAACCAGTCTTCCAGAACTGGTTAGAAGTGCTATAATACAAGTTTTCTAGAAGATGTTTATAAGCTTGAAGGATCTGCAGAGGACTCTTTCCCAAGGTAACATGAGATGTTTGTGTTCAATCCTGTTGGTGTTTGCCTGTAAATTCATCTTAAACTGATGTTTGATGAAATGCATTCATGCATTTGTATGGATATGTCTGTTTGACAGTCAGTGCGCTGAAATCATAGACGAGGAGGAAGGACACAAGATGACGAGGCCTGATGCTTTTATCTCGCTGGACGCTGAGGCTGACGTCTCTGCGAGGAGAAGAAAACCAACCCTCGTTAGGTCAGTTAGAATTAACCATAACTAACATGTTCACACAGCAGCCTCACTCCAGATGTGTCTCCTGATTCAGATCCAAAACATTTGATCCGTCACTTCTTCTGCAAGTCCAGAGTGACTCCGAATCAAAGTGTGAACGCAGGAAGCCGCAGTCATGTCAGGTGCGTCTATCATTCACAAACTATTAGAGTTTTTATTAATACTCTGGAAAAAAAACGAGTAGGATTTTCACTCAGAAATTGCTGGTAAACTTCACAAATAATTACTAAGAAACAACAAAAAAAACGTTGAATTAAACATGACATTTTGATGTGGAAAAACTGAAATAGTAGTTTTATTTACTTCGAAAAATATATTTTTACAGTGTATTTAGAATTAGTTTTTTTGAATTGATTTTTTTTTTTTTTTAGTTAAACATTTAGTATTTTGATGTATGTTTTAGTCATTTTTATTATTATTTTTAAATATGTCTTTAAAACTATTTACACTTATGTATTGCTAGTACATTTCAGAAATAATTACAAAGAAACATCAAGAAAAACTTTGAATAGAACATGAAATTTTGATGTGGAAAAACTTAAATAGTTTTTTGTTTTTTTTTGTAAAATGTAATCCAATAATCCTTGTTTTATTTACTTCGAAAAATATATTTTTTTACAGTGTATTTAGAATTAGTTTTTATTTTTATTTACTTTTTTGTTTTTAGTTAAACATTTAGTATTTTGATGTATGTTTTTGACATTTTTATTTATTTTGTTTAAATGTCTTTGACACTATTTACACGTATATATTGCGAGTACATTTCACAAATAATTACAAAGAAACGGCAAGTAACTCATTAAATTAAACATGAAATTTTAAAGTAGAATGACTAAAATAGCATTTTCTTGTAAAACATACTCAAGTTACAACTTTGAAAAATCATTTTTACAGTGTATTTTGAATTAGTTTTACTTTTATAATTTCTGCTTTAATTTTGATTTTAGCGACACTTTTAGTATTTTGTTGTATGTTTTTGTCGTTTAAATTTTTTTTGTTAAATATATATTTGAAAGAATTTACACTCATGCTAGTAAATTTGGCAAGTATAAAGAAATGCGAAAAAGTAACACATTAATTAAATATGAAATTTTGAAGTAGAAAAACTAAAATAGTATTTTCTCGTAAAACATACTCCAGTAAAAAGTTGTTTTAATTGCAGGTAATTTTTATCGTGTATGTAGTTTTATTTCAGTTTTAGTTATTTTAGTTCATGAAGTGTTGCCTTGGCAACTAGCTGAAATAAAATAAGTTTATTTTTTAAATTTTTATTTTAGTTAAAGTTCGTTTCATTTCAAGTGACAATTTTTTTAATGGTTTTAGTTTTGGTTTTATTTAACAATAATAATCCTGGTGTGTCCATCACTTTCCAGCATCTCTCCTCTAATGAGGGATGTTGAACGAATGAAATGTGAATCTTCTCTTAAATTGTGCATCTGGTTGATTCGGACGAGTTCAAGGGTTTAGAACACAGATCTCAGTTCAGACAACAAACAGGAGATTTTATTTGCTAATATGATTTGTGATCTACACCACTGAATATGCAACATGTTGTGTTTCAGTCTCTGCGCACTAATATCCAGTACCACAAAGTTTTTAAAGACATAAGTGAAGATGAACAACTCAGACAGAGTATGTACGACCAGTTTGATTTGTTTTGTTGATTATTATTGAACACGTAAAGAAGCTTTGGTTTTATTCTGGTATTTTCCTGCATCCAGGTTACACATGCGCGCTGCAGAAGGACATTCTGTACCAAGGAAGGCTGTTTGTGTCCGATAACTGGATCTGTTTCCATTCCAAAGTGTTCGGAAAAGACACTAAGGTAAAACCTGAAAACTGCTGAAAACAGGATACACGGATACACTGGTGTTCATAAGTTTGGGGTCGGTAACATTGTTTAATGTTTTTGAAAGAAGTCTCTTGTGCTCACCAAGGCTGCATTTATTTGAGCAAAAATACAGTAAAAATTGTGAAATATTATTACAATTTAAAACAGCTGTTTTCTATGTGAACATCTGTTAAGAAAGTTCAAAAGAACAGCATTTATTTGAAATAGAAATATTTTGTCGCATTATAAATGTGTTTACTGTCACTTTTGATCAGTTTAATGATGAATAAAACAACAGTAGTGTGTTTGAATTATATGCATCGTATTGTTTCTCGTTCAGATTGCGATTCCAGTTGCTTCAGTAACAGTCATCAAGAAAACAAAAACTGCCATCTTGGTGCCAAACGCACTGGTTATTTCTACAGCACTCGAGCGGGTAAAAGACGTTTCGCTATAATGTAAATAAACTTGTAAACGTGTGTGTCTCTAATCGCTGTTATTGTGGTTTTTACAGCATGTGTTTGTTTCGTTTCTGTCTCGAGACACAACCTATAAGGTTTTGATGTCTGTTTGCCCTCATCTGGTTGTAAGTTCTTCAGTCACACACATTTAATTCACTTCAGTTGAATCATATCGTTTCTGATGAATAAATGTGGCCTGATTGCAGGAGAAGAGTCCTGGGATCAGTCAAATCCCGTCCCAGAGCCTGAGAGGACATCCGGTGTCTCTGCCGATGGTACGAGCGATTCAGAATAACTGTCTGTCTTCATTCCTTCAGTGATCATTACACTGTAGTCATCAGACTGATTCAAATTGTGAGTGAGAGACTGTTTGTGAGTCTTTTTGACTGATTCATTACAGTGAATCAGTTAGAGAGTTATTTTTTTCATGAGTCAGACTCCACTGTTCACACTGTAGTCATTAGAACGATTCAGATTGTGAGTTTGAGACTGTTTGTGAGTCTTTTTGACTGATTCATAAGAGTGAATCAGTTAGAGAGTCATTTGGTCATGAGTCAGACTTCACTATTCACACTGTAGTCATTAGAACGATTCAGATTGTGAGTTTGAGACTGCTTGTGAGTCTTTTTTTACTGATTCATTACAGTGAATCAGTTACAGAGTCATTTGTTCATGAGTCAGACGCCACTGTTCACATTGTAGTCATTAGACTGATTCAAATTGTGAGTTTGAGACTGTTTGTGAGTCTTTTTTTACTGATTCATTACAGTGAATCAGTTACAGAGTCATTTGTTCATGAGTCAGACGCCACTGTTCACATTGTAGTCATTAGACTGATTCAAATTGTGAGTTTGAGACTGTTCGTGAATCTTTTTACTGATTCATTACAGTGAATCAGTTACAGAGTCATTTGTTCATGAGTCAGACGCCACTGTTCACATTGTAGTCATTAGACTGATTCAAATTGTGAGTTTGAGACTGTTCGTGAATCTTTTTACTGATTCATTACAGTGAATCAGTTAGAGAGTCATTTGTTCATGAGTCGAAACAAACTGTCCACACTGTAGTCATCAGACTGATTCAAATTGTGAGTTTGAGACTGTTCTTGAGTCTTTTTGACTAATTCATTACAGTGAATCAGTTAGAGAGTCATTTGTTCATGAGTCGAAACAAACTGTCCACACTGTAGTCATCAGACTGATTCAAATTGTGAGTTTGAGACTGTTCGTGAATCTTTTGACTGATTCATTACAGTGAATCAGTTAGAGAGTCATTTGGTCATGAGTCAGACTCCACTGTCTACACTGTAGACATCAGACTGATTCAAATTTTGAGTTTGAGACTGTTCGTGAGTCTTTTTGACTGATTCATTACAGTGAATCAGTTAGAGAGTCATTTGTTGATTAGTCAGACTCCACTATTTACACTGTAGTCATTAGACTGATTCAAACTGTGGGTTTGAGACTGTTTGTGAGTCTTTTAGACTGATTCATTACAGTGAATCAGTTAGAGAGTCATTTGTTGATTAGTCAGACTCCACTATTTACACTGTAGTCATTAGACTGATTCAAACTGTGGGTTTGAGACTGTTTGTGAGTCTTTTAGACTGATTCATTACAGTGAATAGACTCCACTGTTCACACTGTAGTCATTAGACTGATTCAAATTTACAACTATTTGTTCAATTCTCAGCCCATTTTCACATGTGTGAATGGTTCTGAACACACACCTAATCCTGATTTTCACTTTTTCCACACCTTTACAGATAGATAGAAAAGATCAAATAATCTTCATTCGTATTTTGTGAAAAAACTGTGATGGAAGGTTTTTATTGATATTTTTGAACTCAGCTTCATCAAATTAGGTAATATTAGGTATTTTTTTCAAATCTAGATGCAGGGTTGTGTTATATATTCACGCTGATGTCTGTGCACAGGATTTCACTGCAGATCTGTCGGATTTGGACGGTCCGGTCAGACAGACGGGTCAGCAAATGGACGACAGCAGCAGCTCTGACTGTCCAGAGTCACCGGATTTCGTCAAAACCCCGAGTGTGTTTTGAACACCATGACTTTGAAGTTCAGTGAGGTTCTGGTGTGTTATTGGCTCTTTATCCTTTCTTAACTTGGGATTTTTCCCCCCCAGAATTCCAGAAACGATCCCAAGCTTTCATTGAAGTGGCTAAAAGAGACAGTGAACTGGATTCTCACCCACAACAAGAAACCAACGCCACTGCAAACTTACCGTACACTGGTAACACACTCACACACACACACACTCACACACACACACACACACATCTTAAGTTTCTCTGTGAACATCAGGCATCAGTGATTTTTCTGAGGTGTGTTTTAGGTTCTACAGGATCAGAGGTGGAGTTCATGAAAACACTGCGGCCGGTGTCACTCTCACTGAACGCTCTGGTGTTGATCTGTCTGTCTCTGTGAGTCTCAGCATGTTCATTCATACACTACTGGTCAAAAGCAATCTGAAAACTGCTTAATATTTTTGTGGAAACTGTGAAACACTATCATTCAAACGTTTGGGGTACAAAAAAAGAGGAACTTATAATTCTATTCATCAAGGATGCATTAAATTGATCAAAAGTGACAGTAAAGACATTTATAATGT